TTATGGTGGTTTGTGGTTGGTTAGTGGTGGTTAGTTGTGGTTTATGGTTAGTGGTGGTTAGTCGTGGTTTGTGGTTGGTTAGTTGTGGTTAGTAGTGGTTAGCAGTGGTTTGTGGTTGGTTGGTGGTGGTTAGTTGTGGTTTGTAGTGGTTTGTGGTTGGTTATCAGTGGTTTGTGCTTGGTTAGTAGTAGTTAGTAGTGGATAGGGGTGGTTAGGGGTTGGTTATTGGTGGTTTGTGGTTTGTGGTTTGTGGTGGTCCCCACTGAGGTCCTGGGAAGCCGTGCCGCTCTGACCAGCCCGAGCCCACCAACGCTGCGACTGAGACCGAACTGGGCAATCCTGCTCTCACCCCAGTTCCTGTCTGTGGGGTCAGATGTTACTGAGGTGGGTTATTTCCCAGCTCGATCAGCACCTCGCAGCCACAGCCAGGAGAACATCTGGGAAAGCTGCTGATACCAGATGTGGGGATGGCTGCCTCAGGTAGAGGTCTGTACAGCCGGCAGATTTGGGCGTGGTTTGCAGGCTGAGGCCCTGGAGATGTTACCTTCAGCTTMCAGAACCGTGTTCTCAGGTGTCTGRTGTTGTGCTGTGATCATCTGATACACGAAATTAACGGAGCTGGTGYATTAAGAGTCAGCAAAGCCAGGAATTCTGAAGCAGGGATCAGATTTGCAGGTTTTTTTACATGCTGGAGTGTTCACAACACTAGAGGGCACCGAGACCAGGTGGAAATCAGCTGTGGAGCTGAAGCAGACTGTGAGCTCCCTCCCACACGGACAAACGGGCACGGGGACACGTGGACACACGGCCACAGAAATTCCTTCCACTGACACAGGATCACCCSCTTCACACCCGACGTGGTGCACAAGTCAGTGTCATGTAGGAGTGTTTTTCCACAGCATCCTGCAAGGCTGAAYGACGGGTGTTTCCATGGGCAGGCAGGCACGGGCAGGACACGGGGCATCCCCGCAGGAGCTGCGGGAAGGGACGGGCCGGCGCCGTTCCAGCATTTTCCCAGAGGGGAATTGTTGTGGTTTTGTGCTGCCAGAGGAATTAAGAGCTCGGGATCTCTGTCGAGCAGCTCGGTTGATACCGCTCGGGCTCCTGCAGGAGCTACTGCGGTCTGGTGTCAGCAGAGGGCACTGGGTGATCGCCGGGAGCCGCTTCACCCGCGCCTGACCCGAGCTACATCCTTCCCGAGCTTCGTGCACCAAGGTCACAGGTTCAGCACAGCCTTGTCCTTTTCTCTCCTTCTGTTGTTGCATCAGTTTCACCAGTTATCTCCTCTCCTCTCCTCTCCTCTCCTCTCCTCTCCTCTCCTCTCC